CTGCTGCTGTGACGCCCTGCATCCACCACCACGCCGTCGTGCTGCTGGATCTTCATCAACCTCTCCTTCCCCCTTGCTGGATCAAGAAGGAGGAGACGTCTCCCGTCCCGTACGTGTGTTGAACGCGGAGGTGCCGTCCGTTCGGCGCTGGTCATCGGTGATTTGGATCACGTCGAGTACGACTACATCATCACCTTGCAAGCTTCCGCACGCGATCTACAAGTGGTATGTAGATGCAAACTCTCTCCCTAGACTCGTTTCTTAGATGAACTCATAGATGGATCTTGGTGAAACCGTAGGAAAAATTTTAATTTTCTGCAACGTTCCCCAACACATCCCCCCTCTCCCCTCAAATCGCGCCACTGCTCCCAATCCTTCCGGTGAGCTTAGTCGAATATCCGTCAGCATCTCCTCCCAGCTGCCCATCTATGCCCTAGCCAACTTGTCGCACTCCACCTCTTTGTTGAATTGGTCTCCGCCGTTGCCTTCTACCTATCTATGTGGAATGGCCTAGATTGGTGAAAATGTTTTCATTGCTTTGAGAACATTTTGATAAATAAAATTGAAACCCGAGTTTGACTTAGATTTCAGTTCATCCTTGTTTTACATGTTCCACAGAATGATCCAGATCCAATTGAAATGATTGAAATTGGAAGAGAAAAGTTCACAGAATTGAGCTCAAATGTAGTCTACCAAAGAACATTTGTTGTATATAGCATCTCTCGTGCAACAATATCATACATTCCACCAAACACACATCTCAGCCAATATTTGCATTAGCTCAACCAGGTCACGCTCACCCAGGATCCCCATGCGATGCAGGCAAGAGCCACCCAGGCAACCAAACACACCCTTAGTAACTCTCGTGATGCCCGATCCATCGATGTCCCTCTTGATAAAAAAGTCTATGCACTCAACAAAGAGTACCACTGGATCAATCGCTGCAAGGGGGGGAGAGGGGTCTGCCATTACACGGACAATCGCTTGCGAGAGAGAAGGAACGAGAGGGGTGGAGTCAATTGGTCTGCAATAGAGGAAGGGGTAGGTCGATCGACCCGACATTTTAGGGCGACAAGAAAAGCTGCCCGAATGGAGAAGCCAGCCTGTCCAGCCAATGTACCTATAGAACCATCTCAAGCAAGGCTGGAGTCCTCACACACGCATCTTCAAACTTCAGGACGCGTTTGGTAGCCTGCACTAGGCCCAACCAGGTCCGCGCGGGTAGTTTTTGGTTTGTTTGGTTGCTCGGGTCACACCAGAAAGTTGGTCCACACGGAACTTAAAGCACCTATGGGCCTGCATCCAGAGGAACGGCCTAATCAATTGTTTCTAGCATGCCAGGCTAAGTGGAGCCATATCGTGGGCACATGGGTGGGTCTGGTTGCACGAGATGATGCGAGTAGTGTACAACATGCATGTACCTGGTTTCTTCTCCTACCTCTCTTAAGCTCCTTCTCTAATCTTCTTTCTTTTGTCCATTCTAATCTACACAACGATATTTCTATTCGAGATAAGCTCTACATAAAGAAGATGCACATTGATGTTATGGTTTCATTTTTGCGATCGGTTCGTAGTATCATCGAGCATAAATGTTCAATTTCGTGTTCATGTCCGGAGCTATTTTGGATGAATTCTGTCAATTTCGTCGCGCACGATCGACAATTTAAAATTTTCTTTGACCGGTAGCTTCGTTTCATAGTTTCACATGTCTTTCGTGTTGCACATTTTCTGTTTGACGATCGTAAACGAGTAGATCTACCTCTTCCTCATAGTGTACATATGCATGTGTGTGATCTGTTTTAATGATATTCCTTAGTCTCCTCCACCTAGTTGTTCCTCCTGGCCTCATCCCCCGTGTCCTGCTACACCCGTGTCACCGCCGGCATCGCTCCTCTCGGTCTCCTCTCCCGCGTGTTGTTGCACTAGCGTCACCGTCGTCGTTGTTCCTCTCAGCCTCCTCTTTCGTGTCCTACTACACTCGCGCGCTCGTCATTCCTCTCTGGCTTCTCTTCCATGTACTGCTACATTGAAGCAATCGCCGGCGCCGTTCCTCTCGGCCTCCTCGCTCGTGTCCTACTACACTGGCGTTGTCTTCATCGTTGTTCTTTTCAGCATTCTTCTCCGCGTCCTACTACACCGTCGTCGCCATGGCGCATACACTACATTTTTTCTTCTTCATCATCTGCCTCAGCACCCTCCTCTTCGTTACTTCACACAGACTTTCTCTGTGGCGACGATGCTAGCAATTAGTTCGCCACACCGCCGACGGGATCACTCGCCTGCGACTCCGTGCTCGTCCTATTGAACGCGGTGCCGCGACCACCGTCTACCGCAGTCGCTGATGCACTCTAGTGTAACTATATGTTATGTGCAGCTGTTAACTCTTAATAATGTCCGGTGTATGCAACCAAACAATGTGCATTAGTATGAGCGCCAATACAAGCAACCAAATATAGTGATTAGTGCGTGGAGTTGTTGCGACCATGTAGAGAGAGGGGAATAATGTCCAGTGTTAACCAAACAACATGCACTAGTATGAGCGTCAACTAACAACCAAACACGATGCATGAAGGCATTGCGACGATACAAAGAGAGGGGGTGTAGGCAACCAAACACGCAAAAATAATGCAAATGCTGATTTTTTGACTGCATTAGCTCAATCAGACTCATTTGGGAAGTATGCAAAGTGGAACAGCAACCAAACGCGCGTCGTTAGCCACACGGGCCCGGTTTCTGTTCGTGTGGGAAGAGCTTCCAGCGTGGCAGCGTCTCGTGATGGGGGCACAAGACGAGGGTAGCCGGCGGCCGCCGCCGCCAGAGCCCACCCCTGGCCAGCCCGCCGCAACCGCGGGCACGGCGCCGCCGCCCATCACCCCAGCCCAGTTCCTCTCCTGGAAGCAGCGGAAGGTCGATCTGCCTCTTTTCTTTCCCTATCTAAGAAGTTCCTTTACTAGTCCCCCATCGATTTTTGACTGAGCTTTCCTGTGATTTCTTCTCCGTCCAGCGGCTAGCTAAGTGCGCTGTGATCTCGTGGTGGTTTCCCCTTGGCTAGACCATGGAAATCACTCGTGATTTGTGGGCTTCTCTCTCGATGCACGCCCGTATGTGTGATTATGTGCCTTTTGTTCATTTGGGTGCCATGTGTAGTACTCCCTCCGTGATTAAATATAAGAGCATTTAGATCACTACTTTAGTGATCTAAATGCTCTTACATTTCTTTACAGAGGGAGTATGTTTTAGAATTGGAATAATGGTTTGTAAGTTCTGTGTTTGATTGCCGTCAGCAGGGCTTGTACACTACACGAACAGGGGAGAATAGAGATAACGAATACAATCACATCATGAAGCGCCCATTTGAGAGGCATCTTGTATGATGCAAGCGGCTTTTTGTAGGGTTTCGATGACCTATTCTCTGTCAGTTGGAGATAGTTACTCCATTTCATCCCAAATATAAGTAGTTTTAGATTCCAAAGGTGCAGTCAATATAAATTCTTGTAAAAATATAAATGTAGATCATTGGCCAACATAGACAATAAAATTTTGATACCACTAGATCCATAATCAAATATAAATTATTTCTTGCGAATCAATCAAATATAAATTACTAATACGTAATTTATTGTATTCGATGGAATTGATGGTCAAAATGTCACATTAAAAACAATGCAATGTCCCAACTACCTTGCATTTGGGATCATGAGTATATGTGCAACTACCTACTGAGCACTGCGTCTACTTATTTCAGATGCAACACTGTGAATGGCCGCAGCCAGAGTGATGATACACCTATTTTATTTAAACACTATGTCAGCACCTTACTTTGCTAAACGTCTCTCCAAGAACATGATTGTACATGCCCTTAGATGATAATACTTTTCTTCATCATCTCGAATAGACTTACTTGAGTGGTTAACTGCAACTTTGTGAACTTTTTAGTGTCTATAGACAACGGATATCAGATTCTTGTGGGTAATATGTTTCCCTTTTCTTGTATATGTTCTAGGCTATTTGTCGACGAATGATGCCATACTTTTTTTTTCTGGTCCCTGGGAGCCTCCTGAGATACACATGCTGTTTTTGTTAAATTCTAGATTACCTCTTACCTTGTCCATGGTCTGGGTAATTGCCATGGATGTGTTGTGTTTCTGCCTTTGAATTGTTTATCTTTTTAATTCTTAGAGAGCACCTGTTCTCTAATTGTGTGGTTGTACAGGTCCATTTTTCATGCATAGTTTACTCATAAAGTTACGCCTGCTATTCAGGATAGGGAGAACTGCATTGCTTGAGCATTTTATTTTGCTTTCAATGCTCTGCAATCTGGTTATTAAGAGAGGTTAGAGAGTTTCAGTATTTATAATCTGTTCTTGGAGAGATAATTCAACCTTTTGTTCTTTATATCGTTCTTTTTTTTTTTGCAAAACGCAACCTGTAATGATTGGTTCCTTTTTGTTTTTATGTTGGTGGAAACTTTGAGCTTATTTTGGATGTTGCTTGCTCAATAAAAACAAGCTGCGCTTTTATATACTTTTGTCCTATTTGAATATGAGATTTAGTAACACGAACTGTGTCTTATAGAAGTTTCATAGTTGTTGCATGCTATTCCAAATGCCAAAGATCATGCAAAACGGTTGTTGCTAGAATCTGAATGACGTGTGATGTGTGGTTACCATAGTTTCACCTTATTGTTTTTGGTTATAATTATTGCTGCATAACTCTTTAAAAGAATGTGCCGTGAATGTTTTTGATCATTACTTGTGGGTATTCATGTGAAATTAAAATAATGACATTGTTGAACATAAGCCAACATTTGTGTTCTCCTTTGTTATTACCAGATCAATTCTGACTTTCTGAGTTCCCTTTCTGGACACGTGCTCTTTGGATAACAAAGCACATGTTGCAATCTGACTGAATAACATGGGAGGGCCCATGTGTGATGTTAAGTCATGATAGTCTGATTTATATCTTGAAAACAGGATGGTCTGTCTAATCCATCTTTATAAATGGTCGGTTGTTACAGTAAATTGTGTTTTGGACTGTCACTAAGCTATTTTGCATGCTGCAATTTGCTCAAAACATCAAGCTGTAAGCCTGGGATTTATACGGAATCTGTATACTTGGGTATTTTTTGTTTTCTGATTTCAATGGCAAGAACTGTTTCCTTTTGTGTCCTGAATAAGACTAACATTGATCCTAATAACATCTTTGTTTGGTATGAACTTCAGGATGCAGAAGAAGCTGCAGAGAAAGCTGAAGCGGCTCAGAAGCGAGCCGCGGATATAGCTTCAGGAGCAGTTCAGATGAATGGCCGAGAGTTGTTCCAGCATGAACCCTGGGTGTTTGACAACAACATTTACTGAGACAACTAAATCCTGCAGAAACACACAGAGCATGCATGTATGCCATGTTCACTGTCAGAATCCCACACCATAAGAGTTTGTACAAGCCGTTTGAGCTCTGTTTTATGGAACCCGTACATTGTTTTGCTACTGATAAATGGGAACAAAGACAGTTCTCTACAATGTTTTTTTTCATACTTTTCACATTTCAGAGTATCCAGATTTCGTGGAATGCTGAATATAGTGTATCATCCCGCTATAGCTCTTTCTCTCCCTGTTTAAGGGCTTGCGGCTATGATTACTTTTCTCTGTGCCTCGAGATAGCTGCACATGGCAGTTGTTGGCAGTAAAAAAGAATAATCCTTGCTACAAATTACTCTTCTTTCCCTTTTCCTAGTACCAAACAGCCCATTAGCATATAACAGTATTAGTTTGTTTGGAGAAAAAACTTGGTGAAAGAGGGGAGTTTGTATTTGCAGCTTCATCGAGCCAAATGGACCTACGATCATCATTCGAGCAATTCAAAAGCACCACAATGGTTCACTGATGAAATATTTATTATGCGGCAAAGATCTTACTGACTAGTGAATTTGAGATACTGGAAGTGGTTGGTCACTAGTGAGCGAGAGATACTGGAAAATGATGTATGTGTTTGCCTTTCAGAAAGAACAACAAATGTTTTCTTGAAGGAGCCATGTGTTTGGATATTGTTATGAGATTGTCAGACTTCAACGTGTGCAAAGCCACCTGGTACTAGCTATTTACCGTCCATTGTACTTGGAACATTACAATGGTTGATTCAATGGGCAAGGCTGTTAGAAGGGAGAGAGAGGAATTGTTGCGGAATATGATGGATGTATTATCAAGCCTCGAGGGTGAGTATATATTGAGTACAAGACTTGGAGGGCAAGACGCCTCTCCTAGAGATAACGTAGGAATTCTGAACTACCAAATACATGTAACCCAAATATATCTCTAACATCCCCCCGCAGTCGTAGCGGTAGCGTTGCGAACAACATGAGCGTCGCGGACGGTCAGACTGGAGAGAATAGCAGCCGACGGACTGACATCCCCCCGCAGTCCTAGCGGGAGCGTCGTGGACGGTGTCGCGTCGCGGACGCATTGACTATAGAGGAAGCCGGCGAGTTGCTCAAGCGGATGATAGCCCTTTGTGCCGATGTCGATGTAGCCGAGAGCGTAGGATGGTGTAGCCGTGGTCGAGGTAGCCGTGCGAAGAATGCCATGATCGATGTCGAGCCGAGGTGGCCGGTGTCGAGGAGGTCGCCGTGGAGCCGCAGGCGCAAAGGGGCGCCGAGTTAGCATGGGCGGGTGTCGAAGTAGTGGTGCGCCGGGAAGAAGATATTGTTGACGACGCGTCGCGACGGGTTTGCCAAGTCCGGGGACACGTCGTGGACGAAGGCACGCACCGGTGTTGCCAGCACCGGGCATGCGTAGACGGACGAAGACGAAGGGGGTGGACGGACGGTGGCGGCGGCTACGAAGGTAGCGGCGGCGGTGGCCAAAGAAGAGCGGCGGCGGCGGCCTGACGGCGGCGGCGGCAGCTAGGTTAGGAGTGCAGCGGCGGTGCTCGAAGTAGGCGAAGAACCCTGACAGCGTGACGAAGACCGACGCGGACGGTGGCGTTCCCGCGCCAAGGGAGACGGCGCGGCGCATACCACGGGAGGTCGACGCGCGGTGACGGCGGCGTGGACCGCGGGCCGTGGCGCTACGGCCCGAAGGGGTGACGCAGCGACGGCAGACGGGCCGGGGTGATGGCGGGAAGACCTCGGGGCGGTGGCGGGAACCGCGAGGCGGCGGCGGGGACCGCGTTCCGCAATGCTACAGCTCGAAGAGGTGGTGTAGCGGCGGCTCGCAGGTCGGTGCAACCGCGGAGACAACCTCGGGTGGCGGCGGTGACCACATGCCGCAGCTTTACAGCCCGAAGAGGCGGTGTAGCGGAGGCTCGCAGGTCGGGGCAGCCGCGCAGAGAACCACTAGCCGAGGGTGATGGCCCGTCGGGAGGCGGCGTGGACCGCGTGCCGCGACGTGATAACCCTAAGGGGTGACACGGAGGCGGCGGCGGCTACAGGGGTAGCCGGTGGGAGGATCTTGGGGCGGCAGCGTGGACCACGTTCCGCGACGCGACCGCCCGTAGGGGCGTCGGCGGTAGCGGCGCGTGAGTCGGGGCAGCCGACGGGAAGACCTCGGGCGGCAACGCAGCGGTCCGTAGGGACGACGCGATGGCAACCTATGGCTCGATCGGCGGTAGGCGCGTGCTCGGGGACGTGCTTGGCGAAGACAGGCGCGTGATCGGTTGATCAGACCGACGGCGCCACTGTATGCGCCATGGCGGGGACGACGCGCAGATCGGAGTCGATGGCGACGTTGTCGGTGATGTCCCGGGCGATGACGACGAAGACAGACCGGCAATGGAGACCGCGCGGACGAGCGGCCGGCAGCGACGCACGAAGATGTCCCTTGGGCGGCGCGTCCAGCCTTGCCGCGCGGTTGATGACGAAGCAGCCGGTGAAATCGACGCCGATGTCGGAGTAGAGGCGCGGGGGTCGACGGCGGCGGCGGGCGACGCAAACCGGATCACATAGACCGGAAAACCAAAAAGTAGACGCCGATCAAAGTGACCGGCGAGAGAGAGAAAACCCGGATCAAAGGATCGGGAAAAAGACTCTCTAGGGCAGCCGGTCGACATGACCGGCGGACGAACCCTAGGTACGGGCAGCGCGGCCCCCGGCGGCGGTCATGGAGGCCGACCGTCCCGGGGGCGGCGCGCAGGTGCGGAAGCGGCGGCGGCTAGGGTTTAGGATCGACTTGCGTCTGATACCATGTTAGAAGAGAGAGAGAGGAATTGTTGCGGAATATGATGGATGTATTATCAAGCCTCGAGGGTGAGTATATATTGAGTACAAGACTTGGAGGGCAAGACGCCTCTCCTCGAGATAAGGTAGAAATCCTAAACTATCAAATATATGTAACCCAAATATATCTCTAACAAAGGCCGCTGGGCACACCTATTTATATCTGTACACCATGGATCTGAGTGGTGACACATCCCATGTACTGAAGCAAACAAAACTGTAGTCTGTAGATTGTAGTTTTCTTGGTTTCTGTTTCCATCTCTGTTCACCAAAGCAATCCTGGTTTGGTTGTGCCTTAGGGATGGGCGGCATTGGGAAAAACAATTCATCAACTTCTGGAAAGAACTCCACGGAGAGCCACTTGAGATGTACAATGTGTCGAGATGGAACCAAGGCGAGACTCTGTTTCTGGAACGATAGTAACAAAGGTTCAGAATCTGTACATGAAAGGGAAAGACTACTACCATGAACTGGCGCATCTGAAAGAAAATGCTTTTAAGTTTAGAATCAAAGTCACCTTGCCTCTGAAAGAAAATCACACAGGCGATGTGCCTGCGCCATGGAGGATTCGACAAATGTTTTTTTGTATTCAACATAAAGTTGTTCACTGTTGTTCGTGATACGTTTTTCACTGTCATTCTTTGTGTGACCACCATACCACAACGCTCTCAAAACATGGCCAGTTTTCAGTGGTCTTGTTTTCCAAATCTGTCAAGTTAGGTACAATCAGTTTCTGATTAAATGTTAGCGTTGATCCTGCTATACAACTCCGCCTATGTTGTCTCAACATAGCCGGTCCCAAACCCGGAGAAAGGAGGAGGGTTGTGATAGGCTTGGCGAGCCAATGAAAAAACCAAGCCACTCTTATGGAGTTGAAACCCAAAAGGTTGGTCGCGAGATCCTATGGGTTTCACCTCTAGCCTACCCAAACTTGTTTGGGACTAAAGGTTTTGTTGTTGTTGTTGATCCTGCTATACATCTTTATTTCCATGTTTAAGAGCTCGCGGGTATGGTATCTGATTGTGATGGCATGAGTGGATGTTTGTTAGGGATGTCTCGCTTGTAAGTTGTAACATAGAAAACATGCAATATTTGTCTTTTTTAGAAGAATGTTGATTCTTGAAACATCTATTTGTATTGTGATGTGATTCTCTCACTTGTAGTTATGAATTCAACTGAATGAACATTGCAATTTTGTCGGCACCCCATAACAAGCTTTGCACAAAATTGTGAAATAGGAAGTTAGGCACAAAGAATAGTGCTATGCTCTGCTGCTAAGTTGTGCACTTTGACTTAACTATGATAGGAAATCAGTCGACTCGTTACCTTTCAATTCCAGGGTGAAGGGACTTGGACAGTTAGGCACATGAAAACTGAATTCTTTTTTGGAAGACAACATGAAAGCTAATGGAGTTCATTAATAATATTTAGATGTTAAAACACAAATGCGCCCCACGGCGCTGCACAAAAACGAGGTAACAACCCTCAAGAATAATCCTTCATTATACTCTTCTTTCCCCTTTCATTGTGTCAAAGTCAGTTTGTTTGGAGAGAAAACATTTGCAGCTTCCTCAAGCCAAATGTTTCCGCATCATCGTAATTCAAGCAGTTTGAACTCCTAATCAACAAGTACTACATGTGGTCTGTGAGTGAGAGATACCGGATGTGCTTAGTGACCAGTGAGCAAGAGATACTGGAAGCTAATGTACCTCAAACTTTTCATAGGAACATTGTTTTTTCAAGGAGCCACATGTGCTTGGCAACTTGTTATGAGATTTTAAGATTCTGGTGTGTGCAAAACCACTCGGCAGGAGTATCTATCCACTTAAACTACTTTCTTCTACCACCATTGTACTTGGAACATAAAACGGTTGATGCAATAAGTAAGGCCAAACCTACTTCAAGGCATCATACATTTTTCCTTTCTATATATACCATAGACATGGTGACACCTCCCATGTAGTGAAGCAAACAGAGCTGTAGATATTGTTTTCTTACCCCCAATCTATATTCACTGAAGCTTCAGATCTTTGAGCGATGGAAATTGCAATTCCTATCCTGTTATGGTTGTGCCTTAGGGATGAGGGGTGTTGGGAAAAACAACTCATCAACTTCAAGGAAGAACTCCGCCAGAAAATGGCACCACGT